TAGCTTCAGAAAACCACCACTAGCAATGGGCTGATGGGAAGGCTTTCAGGAAAATGAAAATGATGAGCACCCCTCGCTGAGGAAGCACCGCTTTGAGAGACCGAGGGGCCTCCGTTGGTGCTACACATGTCTATTCTACCAGAAGCAGAACTCATCCACATGGGTCCTCACCAATCAACATGGAGAGAGCTTTCCTCAGACAGAGAAGTGAACACTGTGGATCAGTGTAGCCAGATAAATGCGACACTACTCTGCTCCTCCGACAGAAGGAACCATTATAGCTGTCCCTCACATTAAATATCAGCTCAGTGGCTCTGCCTAAGAAACCTATTCCCCTCTGCTCTCTCTTGAGGTGTTGCCCTTGAATACCCCACCAGTAACGATGTACGCCATTTGTTTCTGACACCGAAGTGATATTTACATGTTCAGAGTCAGTGAGGTAACATCAATTCAGAATACTTGGAAAACAGATTTTGTAATTGATGTGTCAGACCAAAGACCTTTTATCTTCCATCTGTTTCTCTAATCTTCTAACACTACAAATAAACAAGAGAATTGTTTTCTTCCCTTTTTCACGTCTGTTAAAATGGATAGCACTCCACCCTGTGCTGCTGTGATTGTGTAATCTGAACCGCAACGTTACATTATTAGCCCCAGCTGAGTGAAAACACACTGATAGCATGCAACCCAAGTGAGCACTGAAAACAGCAATGTTATTCGAATGGGGTTTAGAAACTTCAGTGAGAGGCCACAGGGCAGGACAGCATCCAGGTTGAATAGAGCAGGAATTATGTTAATTTACCAAAGAGTGGTGAGCCTGTGGAATTCATTACCACAGGAAGTAGTTGATGGCAAAACATTGAATGTATTCAAGAGGCGACTTGATATAGCACTCGGGGTGAATGGGATCGAAGGTTATGGGGAGAAAGCAGGATTAGGCTACTGAGTTGGACGATCAGCCATAATTGTGATGAATGGCGGAACAGGATCAAAGGACCGAATGGCCTCTTCCTGCTCCTATCTTCTACGTTTCTAGGTTTCAGCCACGGTCACCAAACCCACATTATAATTTGGATTATATACTCAAACCAGGTCTGCACTTGTCACCCTATATTGACTCTACGCATAGCAAATGCCTCCAATTTGAAATTCTCCTGCTCCCTACAACTCTCTGAGCTCGCTGTACTCTTCCAATTTTAGCCTCATCAATGTCTCTGATTATCTGCAACATACTATCAGCAGCTTTGTCTTCTAATGTCCACTTGTGAAGTTCTCCCCATCTCTCTCTCTCTCTCCGCTTTTGAGATTTTTTTTAAAATCCACCCTTTTCATCAAGTCTTCAGTTACCTTTGGTCTTAATAATGGCTGACGTGATTGGATGTGACATTTCATCTAATAGTGGAGGCCTCCTCTCTCTGGCGAACTGGGGTGGGGTTGGGGTGGATTTCTTCTCACGGACTTGGTTGAGTTTTTTGAGGAAGTAACCAAAACGACTGATGAGGGCACAGCTGTAGACGTTGTTTGCTTGGACTTTAGTAAAGCCTTGGATAAGTTTCTGCATGATAGACTAATTAGTAAAGTTCGATCACATGGGATTTATGGTGAGCTTATCAATTGGATACAACATTGGCTTTACTGTAGGAGACAGAGGGTGGTGCCCTATGAACAGCAGGTTTTACAGAGATCAGTGCTGGGTCCACTTTTGCTTGTCATTTATAGAAATGATTTGGATGAGAATATAGGAGACATAGTTAGTAAGTTCGGGGATGACACCAAAATTGGTGATGTACTGGACAGTAAAGAAGGTTATCTAAGATTACAAAGGCATCTTGATCAATTGGGTCAATGGACTGAGGAGTGGCAGATAGAGTTTAATTTGGATAAATGTGAGGCATTGCGTTTTGGTAAAACAAACAAGGGGAAGACTTATACATTTAACGGTAGGGCCCCAGATAGTATTGTAGAACAGGGAGACCTAGGGAATCAGGTACATAATTCCTTGAAATTTGCACCACAGCTGGACAGGGGTGTTAAGAAAGCATTTAGCACACTTGCCTTCATTGCTCTGGCCTTTGGGTATAGGAGTTGGGATATTGAGATTGTACAAAGGCCTCTTCAAGAGTAGTGTGTGCAGTTCTGATTGCCCCGTTATAAGAAGAATATTATTAAACTGGACAGGAGTCGGAAAATATTTACCAGAAAGTTGCCAGGAATGGAAGTTTTGAGTTATAAAATAGGCTGGGATTTTTTTCACTTGAATGTAAGAGGTTGAGGGTTGACCTTACAGAAATTTCGAAAATCATGAGAGGCATAAATAAGGTGAATAGCAAAGATCTTTTTCCTAAATTGCGGGGAGTTCAAAACTGGGGGGCATATTTTTAAGCTGAGAGGAGAAAGATTTAAAAAGGACACGAGAGGCATCTTTTTTACACAGAAAGTGGTTCGTGTATGAAATGAATTGCCAGAGCAACTGGTGGATGCAGGTATAGTTACAATGTTTAAAAGATGTTTGGATGAATAGAAGGGTTTGGAGAGAAGTGGGCCAAATGCAGGCAGGTAGGACTAGTTTAGTTTGGGAACATGGTCAGCTTGGACTACTGGGAGTGAAGGGTCTGTTTCCATGCTCTCTGAGGTTAGAGTTGAAAGTTATGCCTCAGAGGGCTCCTCTAGATTTAAACACACTTGGTGTTTCCTACATACATGAGATTGCCGAGAGCCAATAGCTGACAGCTCTCTGATTGGGATGGCAACACTGCGAGCCAGCTCACTGTCCATGATAGGACAGTGTGCACAGAGGCGGCCAATTAATAGTCCACGTCCAGGTAAATATCTGTCCTGGATTGCCTCCCAGAATTTCACCCTTGCCCTCTCCCTCCACTTGGCCCTGACATAGAAACATAGAAAATAGGAGCAGGAGTAGGCCATTCAGCCCTTAGAGCCTGCTCCACCATTCATTATGATCATGGCTGATCATCTAACTCAGTAGCCTGTTCCTGTTCTTCCACTTCCACCCATATCGTTTGATCCCATTAACCCCAAGTACTACGTCCAAATCCTTCTTGAAATCAAGATCTCTAAGGCTCTGTGTACATTCTGTCCTCGCAAGCAGCTCTGAAGGTGGATGCAAGTGATTTTGGTGATGAGTGAGATCTACGTTTGAGCTGAAAACTCCCCAGGATGTAATTTTGAGCTTCAATCCAAAATTGCTCTGGTGAAGAGGATGGCATCATTGATGAGAATCACCCTCGCTCCCACCCACTGCTGCCAGAATCTGGTAGCTCTCCTTCATTTCCTCATCTCCCATCAGGCAAACTATCCAATTTCAAACCACGGCACCAAGATTTTGAGTCCTCCCCATTTTGGGAAATGTTCTTTTAACGGTTACAGCGAGGCTTCCTAAAGTGGGGTTGCGAGAGGAAATTTTGGGCTGGCAAGGTCACAGGCAGCAATGGCCAACTCCCTTCCCCTTACTCTTAAAGGTCCTCTCCTCCACTCATGGAGAGCTTATAACAATCTTCAAGCCTCAAAATGGTGTCACAATGGCAACACGTATGGGAATCATTGGTTTACTGCCTGGTCTGAAGATAGTTGGGATGATGCTCCCTCAGACATTAAACAGTCTTCAGATTATAGAAGAAAACCATCTTTCCCCTTAGAATCTTGTTTCCGCTGAACAAATAGAAAACATCAATGGAGGACTGGAATCCACAACAACTGACACTTGCAGCTGTAGCACATTCAGAATCGATCCTCACTAACTGGGCATATGAGTTAGCAATAGAATAGAAAAGCAAATTTCTGGTTCTGACAAAGGGTCACTGGACCTGAAATGTTAACTCTGATTTCTCTCCATGGTTGCTGCCAGACCTACTGAGCTTTCCCAGCAATTTCTGTTTTTGTTTCTGGTTCTCCCAGTCACCCATCTTTTGACTGAGAATATCCACTGGGAGTGCAAGATTTACCCTGTACCAAGAAATTGTCCTTTCACGTTTGTAATTTGAACTCCATATTCAGTCTAGAACTAATGCAGCAAAGGTCAGAAATTTGGAAATGGACGACACTGTTTCATTGAAGGACTAAATCTGGATGTATAGTTGAGATTCAGATCTCATCTTTCTTGAAGAGAGGAATGGACTGCAGAAGACATAAATTAAACTCTTTGTTCACCAGATCTGAGTTCTTAAAGGCAGATGGAAGGTATGTGTGAATGTGCGTTTGTGTGTGTGAGAGAAAGAGAGACAGAGGAAGAGGGAGAGAGAGAGAGAGAGATCAAGAGAGAGAGTGTGAGACAGAACGCTGAGCATTGCCGCATCACACTGGTTAATGAAAGCCTCCTCTCTTCATTGATTTGTCTATCCACACCCTGAAATGTTTGGGTCACACATTTTAGGAAATAGCAGTTTGTCTTTTGCATCAAGATAAGCAAACGGTAAGAAACCAGTTCTCAAACATACGGAATAAGTATATTTTTAAGAGAATCCGATCAAAGTGCTCTTTCATTCCCCATCCCAAGCATTTGATTAGACTTTCTTTTTCCAATTAAAAATGCTTCAAACACTCACATGGCTATTTTGTAACTCATTGCATCCAATTAAACCTCCCTTTCATCTACGGCATCAAGATGAGGACCCAGCCATTACATCACACTGTCTGGGATTTTAATTTTCATTTTGAAGGCAAAAAGAAAAACTCACAACAGTTCCTTTTCAAAGCATCTAATGATGAAAACATTGTATGTGGTGCCGACATCACCTTTTTATTCCAACATCTCCGAGATGATTAAGGGCTCACCATTTGGACAATTATATAGCCGAAGAACCTTTCTCAGACTTCAGCACTGGACGCTAATTAAGAGCGATGACATGGGGAGGGGGTGGGGGGCATGGTGATGTCACCCATCCAACTGAACCCACCAGCACACTGCCAACCTGTCAGGGCTAATTCTGTGGCAGAAACAAGTGATGAGAGTGAACAAGGAGGGGGAAGAAAAGGGAGCTTACTTCAAAGGCGAGTGTCTCATTAGTCGGGCCTGCCGAGTACAGGCTCTCTGGTGTGTTGAACGACCGCTGGTAGTGGAACACAGCTCCCCCAAAGTTGAATTGCCCTGGCCAGTCGACTGTCCAGTCCCCTGTTAGGTGGTATTTGCCCTGCAGGCTGCGCACCGCCAAATAGCTTGTTGAGATCTCCAGCTCCTGCACATGAATGCTCCGAGCCCCAGCTGGTACCGTGACAACAACGTAGTACTCTGTAAAACCGAAAATAGAGAAAAAGTCATTGATGAGGAACAGAAAGAAAGCATTTGCTAAATGGAATATAAAGCGATGATCGATTTATACAGCAATCTGGTCAGACTCCATCTGGGACAGTGTGTTCAGTCCTACTCAGGAAGGATAGCTATTTTAGTCAAGTGGTTCAGATGTGATAGGGTGTGCCACTGGAACAGGTGGGACTTGAACTTGTGCCTCCTAGTTCAGCGGACTACCACTGCACCACAAATAACATTAATGTCAGGAAGGATGTATTAGCCTTGGAGGGAGTGCAGTGAAGATTCACTCAATGATCCCAACTCTACAAGGGTTAAGAGATAACAAAGTGTAGAGCTGGATGAACCCAGCAGGCCAAGCAGCATCAGAGGAGCAGGAAAGCTGACGTTTTGGGCCTATACGTGTCACCAAGTGGTATAGATTAGGCTGACTCCTTGAAAATAGAGGTGATCTATTTGAAGTGTTTAAGGTAATTAAAGGAGTTGCTGGACAGGATCAATATAGCTAATTCTGCTGTTGGGCAGAATAAGGGGAACCTAACACTTTTATGAGATTTAATCCTTTCGGGGATGATATCACAAAACATGTCTTCACAAAAAGGGTAGTGAAAATCTGGGACTGTCTCCCTGAAGAAATGTTGAATGGTTTTCTCCTGTTTGTATGATCTTGGGTTATATCTATGTTCACGGCAATCAGGCCACTTAAATGCTAAAAACAAAGAGCAGGTTTGAGAATGAACCGAGGCTTATCGATTCCATTAGACTCTTGATTCTGAGAAGTGCATTGTTTGTTCTGATTCGCTTCTTAAAATTATTTCAAATTTTCACAGGTCCCCATGGTTTTATTTTATCTCAAGTCCGTGTATTGTAAATTGGAAACTCAGAGAAATACCTTCCAAAATGCCAAGCAGCGTAGATCAAGTTGTAAAAAGTGCATTGAGTAGTGTTTAACTTTGATGCTTCTCAGCTTGTCAAAGTCAGGGTTGGAAGATGTTAAGAGCATGGGACTCTGAGATCTGAATGCAAAACCAGCACCTTTTTAACTGAATACAGACTGATAGGAGAATGATCCCAGGACTTAAATTGTTAAGTTATGAGGCAAAATTCTATTGACCTTACATACACCTCCTTGCTAACAGCAGCTAGAGATGCAGTGGTACAGACACTGGTTGATAACCCAGGGAATCAGGCCAACGATCTGGGATCATGGGCTTGAATCTCACATGGTGAAATTTAAATTTCACAATAAAATTGAATACAATTGGTAAATCTGGAATGAAAAGGGGGCCCAAATATTTTCCACCAACACATTAAAAAGCAAGCAGGTGATAAGAGGTGAAGGGGATCCTATTAGGGACATCAAGAATGACATATACATTGAAATACAATGCTGGAATAATGAATCAGTTCTTTCCGCGAGTGCTTACTGAAGACAAAAATTCTCTGAACGGAAGATACTGGAGGCAATGCTCAAGTCAAAACTGAAAGGGAGGAGGTCCTGGAAAGGTTGTCCGCATTTAGGGAAGATAAGTCTCCTGGTTTGGATGGACTACATTAGCTGCATGGGTTGCAAAATGATGTGATGGCTGAGAGAGAGCTGGGCTTGCCTTGATGTTTCAAGATATGGAGGAGACGACTGGAGAGTGACGAATGTGGCATCCTTGTTCAGGGAAGCGTGTAAGGGCAGCTCTCACAACTCCAAGTCAGTTAGTCTATAATCATTGGTGGTAATGTTTTAGAATTCATGATCAGCAGAAAATCATCAACAGACACCTGAAGAGTGTTTTGAGTGAGTTACAGAGAACCAGCACAGTTTGTGCTTGACTAATTAACTGAACCATCAAAGATATTGTGGTGGATGTTGTCTATATGGTTTTTTTTAAAAAATGTATTCAACAAAATACCACACAAAGGACTGCTAACAGCATTGAAACTTATGGAGTGGGAGGGTCAGTGTACAATCGGACAGCAAATTGGCATAAGGACAAAAAAAAAGCAAGATGTGGTGGAGTACTGTTTTGTTTCTAAATAGCAATACATCGTGGCATTCCCCAAATGGGAGCAGGACCACTGCCTTTTTATTGGTGTCATGTGGAGTAACTCATTAACATTTGCAGATGAGACTGAATGTGGAGGAATTACAAATAGTGAGGGCAATACAAAGTATGTATAAAGTATAGACTGGCCAGCAAAACTGGGAGACAAATGCAAATGGAGTTTAATCCAGAGAAGTGAAAGGTAATGCACTATGACAGAAGGGGTGTGGAGCAGTAATAAAGTCATAGGGGTCCACAGCACTGAAAGAGGCCCTTCCACTTTAGTGACATGAATCAGAAATATTCTCAGGATTAAAAGGAGCTAGGAATAGACATGCATTGATATTTGAAAGTGGCAGGTCATTAGTATTGACTACAACAGCAGAAAGGTTGTGCTAAACCTATACAGAACTCTGGTTAGCCCATAGCAAGAGTACTGTTCCCAGTTCTGGTCAGAGTACTTTGGGAAAGATATGAATGTCCTTGAGAAGATGCACAAGAGATTTACTAGACAGTTTCCAGGAATAAGAAGTCTTAGTTACAAGGTTAAGTTGGAAAGGCTAGGATCATTCACCTTGGAGCAGCAAAGACTGAGGGGAGATTTGTTACAGATGTATAAGATTATGACAAGCTTACATAAAATAGACATAAGCAGACCGTACAAAAATTAAGGGACCCAGGCAAAGATTTTGAGCAAGAGACCCATCAGTTTATAAGGAAACACTTTTCCACACAGTGAGCAGCATTGCTTTAGAACACACTGCCTACAAGGACAGATGAAGCAAAACCAATCTATGGTTTGAAAAAGGAATTCCAATTGCCACTTGAAGGAGACAAATTTGTTGATCTATGAGGACCAAGCCAGGGAGTAGGCTGATTCATAGAATGTCCACAGGGCTGAAAGAGGCCATTTGGCCCAAGTCTGCCCTAGCTCCCCAAAGAGCATCCCACCCTCACCCACCACCCATCTCCTATCCCCTTAACCTCACATTTTCCATGGTTGATCCACCTAACCTGCACACCTTTGGACTGAGGGAGGAAACCGGAGCACCCGGAAGAAACCCACACAGACACGGGGAGAATGTGCAAACTCCACACAGACTTGAGTCAAGCCTGGTGCTTTGAGGCAGCAGTGCTAACCACTGAGCCAGCATGCCACCCGGGATTGGATTGCACCATGGCAAATGACACAAACACAATGAGCTGAATGGCCTCCCCTATGCTATAAACAACTCTATCACAGTAACAGATAGATGAATGCCTGGTGTAGGGCTTTGTTTCTGATATACTTGCCATTTGCCCGGTGCTGTTGATGGTACTGTCCTCTGAAGAACTTGCAGGTTGAATTATCTCCGTTGCATACTCCACAAGCATCCACGACAGCCTTTGAGCCTAGAACATGGTCACATCCCACTGCCTGAGGGAATATTTCACCAATTACACTTCAGTCAGTCACCTTAGCACCAATTGGGATTCCTACCTGAGGGCTTTCTGTTGTGTATAGCTCAGCTAATCATGGTCTTAGACTGTGTTTAGCAGCAATTATGGGGGCCCTACCCACATTACATTCAACACCCATCCTGCATCACAATGTTTGCCAGCATTTGCAGTCAGTCAAACAATATCTTGGCTTCTGGCAATATTTCTCAAGAAGAGGAAAGGCACGATAAAGGGTGAGAGACATGTAGCTTTGTAAGCATGTATGAAACTCTGAATCTGCTTGTCCTCTCAACAACCATACAAGATGAGGACCATTTGTGCAATTATGGTTATCTCACATTCCACAAGCGTGTGGCAGAGTTCACTGAGGCAGCAATGCTTTGTTCCATGTGTTACTTATGTGTTTTTTTTCTCTCCAATAGACAGAGGGTGTCCGTTGATAGCTAGAACCCAAGGGAGTCGAGCTCTTCAAATTTTGACATCCTAAATTTAAATCCCATGACTCGACTGGAATCTACGGTCAGGATTTACTGAGACTGAACCTGCTGACCTTGAGCAGGGTTACGAGTAGGAGGAAGGCTGGGGAGAAAGATGAGCTGGGATGGCTCTATTTACTTTTGGATGTTAAAGCAACTGGAGTGGTTTCACAAACTGAAATGATGCAGTTAAAGGAGGACTTAAATCAAAGAAAAGGAGGAAAGAGAAGACAACACTCTATTTACGAAAGCACGAGCTATGTATTTTACCTCACAAATGCCATCAATGCATACATCGAATTTGTTCTCCACACAGCGAGTTCCATCTTTCACTTTGTTAGACATGGCAAAGAAGAAGTCAAAATCTTCAGCTATGCAATACAACTTGCAAATATCTTCATCTGGAAATAGAAAATGAGAGATTGTGCCACTTGAAAATATGCCACAGGGTGGTTTACAGAGGCTGTATTTATCTAACCATCATCAATTAAAGGTGTGTCAGTTTGTGCCAGCTTTTTTATGTACCTCATTAAGCAATGACAGGGAGAGACACAAGACAGACGTGTTAGTCACTGGACTCCATGTCAGCTTGATTCACAGACTTATCCTCCAGGGCACTTCTGATAAGACATTTTTAAACAGTAGTAAACAACAGCTTGAATCTGTCAGTTCAAACACTCGAGCAATAGAATCCAAGGCACCAGGACCAACCAAGAACTCATACTTAATTGCCACAAAGACATTACTGCATAAACCTCCTCTTCTGGCACTTGCTGCTTTCCATTACCTGCAATTTCTGGAATATTATACAGCGTTTACAACACAGAACATGGACATTCATTCCAACTGCTCCATGTCTGTGTTTGTGCTCCTGCCCCCCTTCAATCACCCCATCAACAATATCCTTCCATTGCTTTTTCCTGCATTCTTTTGTCCCCATAAATACATCCATAGTATTCTCAACCACTCTACACAAGGAAATAAAATCAAGAAATTTTGGACAAAGTCAGTAGTTCTGGCAACAGCTACAGATTGAGAAGCAGAGTTAAACATTCAGGACTATACCATTTGCTAAGGAGAGGTGGTGGCATAATGGGATTGTCACAGGATTAGCACTCCAGTTAAGTCAAGGCTATTGCTCTGTGAGTATAGGTTCAAGCCTCACTGAAGCAGATAGTAAAAAGCTGGTTTAATGGTAAGCATGTAAACATTGTTGATTGCCATTTAGAGAAGGCAATCTTTGATTTATTATTGTCGCACATACCTAGATCATACCATACAAAGTGCATTAGGGTAATAGAACAGAGTGAGGAATGCAATGTTATGGCTGCAGAGAAGGTGCACAAAGAGTGAGATTAATATCAATTTTAAAATTTTAGAGGTCCATTCAGAAGTCTAATAACAATGAGGAAGAAGCTGTTCTTGAACCTGTTGGTCTGTGTTTAAGTTTTTGTATCTTCTGCCTGATGGAAGAGGTTGGAAGAGATTATAACTGGTGTGGGAGTGGTCTTGGATTATGTTGGCTGCCTTCCTGAGGCAGCAGGAAGTGTAGATCGAGTAGAGGGATGGAAGGTTGGCTTGCGTGGTGGGCTAGGCTGTGTTCACAACTTTCTGTAGCTTCTTACAATCCTGGGCACAGCAAATCTGCCCTCCTTACCTGGTTTGGCCTACATGTAACTACATACCCACAGCAATGTGGTTGGCTCCTAACTGGCCTCTGGATAGGAGCAGTTAAGTGCTGTTCTGGCCAGCAACATCCCATGAATGAATACATTTAAAAAATAAGAACGTAGCTCAGATGGAGGTGGGACACAGTTCAAGCATGGTCTCACTGAATGGTGGCACAAGATCATGGAGTTATTCTTCTTATCCTCTCCTTGCTGGGTCTTATGGGCCCATCAGGCTCTTTCATACAGCAAGATGCATTGAGCAGGTACAGGCATGAACTGAAGAAAGGGTGGTAAATACCATCCGGAAATTAATAGGCCCAATTAAAAGAGGTGCAGTGAAGGTCATGTTTAATTTGCGGGGGTGATGTAACATGTAACATTGAATTAGCCATCCATCAAAACTCTCCACCCCATATTCCTGGAAAATTTCCAAGGAAAATTGGGCAGGGTGTGTAATATAAGGTCATTAGATATCACCCAAAGTTCAAATTACACACAGCAAACAACTGATGTTTTAGCGAATGAGTCATTCGAGCAAGGGATGGGAGTTGGTGACCTAATAGCAATGTGCATTGACTGATAACCCAGTGGTTCAGGTTAATGTTCTGGGGCTGCAAGTTCAAATCCTACCATGGCAGCTGGTGGAATCTAAATTTAATCTCAGTAATGGTGACCATGACAACATCTGTGATCATTATTAAAAGCCCATCACTAATGTCCTTCAGGGAAGGAAATCTGCCACCCTCACCTGGTCCGGCCTACGTGTGACTCCAGACCCACAGCAATGTGGTTGATTCTCAATTGCCCTCTGAAATGGCCTAGCAAGCCACTCTGTTGTACCAATTGCTACAAAGTCTCAAAGAAATGAAACCACATGGATCACCTGGCATTGACCTAGGCATGGGAAAAGACAACAGCAGAAACAGCCCTGTCGACCATGCAAAGTACTCCTCACTAACATCCGGGCGTTAGTGCCAAAATTGGGAGAGCTGTCTCACAGACTAGTCAAGCAACAGCCTGACATAGTCACACTCACAGAATCATACCTTATAGACAATGTCCCAGACACCACCATCACCGTCCCTGGATATGTCCTGTCCCACCGGCAGGACAGACCCAGCAGAAGGGGCGGCACAGTGGGATTCAGTTGGGAGGGTGTTGCTCTGGGAGTCCTCAACACTGACTCTGGACCCCATGAAGTCTCATGGCTTCAGGTTAAACATGGGCAAGGAAACCTCCTGCTGTATACTACATATTATCCTCCCTCAGCTGATAAATCAGTACTCCTTAATAAGGCTCTTGTCAGGCCACATGTGGAATATTGCGTGCAGTTTTGGGCCCCATACCTCAGCAAGGATGTAGTGACCCTGGAGTGGGTTCGGAAGAGGTTCACGAGAATGGTCCCAGGAATGGAAAGCTTAATGTATGAGGAACGTTTGAGGACTCTGGGACTATACTCATTGGAGTTTAGAAGGATGAGGGGGGATCTAATTGAAACTTACAGAATACTGAATGGCCTGGACAGAGTGGACATTGGGAAGATGCTTCTATTGGTAAAGGGCATAGCTGCAAGACTGGTGGTGAGGGAACCAACAGGAGGGAAAAACATACTTGACCTCATCTTTACTCAGCAGTTGCATCTGTCCATGACAGTATCGGTAACCATGACCATCGCACAGTCCTTGTGGAGACGAAATCCCGCCTTCACATTGAGAATACCCTCCATCGTGTTGTGTGGTACTATCACCGTGATAAATGTGACAGACTTCACACAGATCTAGCATCTCAAGACTGGGCATCCATGAGGCGCTGTGGGCCATCAACAGCAGCAGAATTGTCAATCATCTTAGCTCCAGGACATCTCTGCAGGAGTTCCTCAGGGTAGTGTCCTAGGCCCAACCATCTTCAACTGCTTCATCAATGACCTTCCCTCCATCATAAGGTCAAAAGTGGGGATGTTCGCCGATGATTGCACAATGTTCAGCACCATTCACGACTCCTCAGATACTGAAGCAGTCTGTGTTCCACATACAACAAAATCTAGAAAATATCCAGCCTTGGGCTGACAAGTGGCAAGTGACCATCGCGCCACACAAATGCCAGGCTATTGACTATCACCAATAAGAGATAATCTCACCACTGTCCCTTGACATTCAACGGTGTAACCATCACTGAATCCCCCACTATCAACATCCTGGGGATTATCATTGACCAGAGACTCAACCGGACTCACCACATAAACAGTGGCAACAAGCGCAGGCCAGAAGCTAGGAATACTGTGGCGAGTAACTCACCTCCTGACTCCTCAAAACCTGTCCACCATCTACAAGGCACAAGTCAGGAGTGTGATGGAATACTCCCCACTTGCCTGGATGAGGGCAGCCCCAACAACACTCAAGAAGCTTGACACCATCCAGGACAAAGCTGCCTGCCTGAATGGCACCACATCCACAAGCATCCACTCCCTCCACCACCGATGCTCAGTAGCAGCAGTGTGTACTATCTACAAGATGCATTGCGGAAATTCACCAAAGATCCCCAGATAGCACCTTCCAAACCCACGACCAATTCCATCTAGAAGGACAAGGGCAGCAGGTATATGGGAACACCAGAATCTCCAGGTTCCCCTCCAAGCCACTCACCATCCTGACTTGCAAATACATCGCCGTTCCATCGGTGTTGTTGGGTCAAAATCCTGGAATTCCCTCCCTAATAGCATTGTGGGTCAACCTACAGCAGGAGGACTGCAGCAGTTTAAGAAGGCAGCTCACCACCACCTTCTCAAGGGGCAACTAGGGACAGGCAATAAATGCTGGCCAGCCAGCGACACCCACATTCCACAAAATGAATAGAAAAAGAAATCTGCTTCACTACTGGCCTTTAGGAAAGGAAATCTGCTATCCTTGCCCATGTGACTACCGACCCCACAGTAATGTATTTGACTCTTGACTATCCTCTGAAACAGCTGAGCAAGCCATTCAGTTTAAAGGCAGTTAGGAATGAACATCTCATGAAAGACCAATTAAAATATAGTTCCTAAGACAACTTAACACATACTTGTAGTATATCTTTCATTGTACATTGTAAAATAAGTACAAATAACATTCAGACAAATGGTGCTTGTTGGCAAGGTGTATTCTCGATGCTGAAGGAGGTGCGGTTCCATGTTGATCATGAAAAGAACAAAGAACGATACAGAATAGGATCAGGCCCTTCGGCCCTCCAAGTCTGCACCAACGCATTTTGCCCTTCCATACTAAAACTGCATTCACTTACAGGATCCATATCCCTCTATTCCTTTCCTATTCATGTATCTGTCCAAGTGTTTCTTGAACGCTGCTATTGTGTCTGCTTCTACCGCCTCGTCCGGCAACACACTCCAGGCACTCACCATCCTTTGTGTGAAAAACTTGTCCCACACCTTGAACCTATGTCCCCTAGTAATTGACGCCTCCACCCTGGAAAAGAGACGCATACTTTCCAGTCTATCCATACCATTCACAATCTTATAGACTTCTATCAGGTCATCCCTCAACCTCCTGTGTTCCAGTGAAAACAAACACAGTCTATCCAAAATTTCTTCATAGCTAAAATCCCCCATACCTGGCAATACCCTGGTAAACTTTTTCTGTACCATCTCCAAAGCTTCCTTATCCTTCTAGTAGTGTGGTGACCGGAGCTGCACGCTATATTCTAAGTGTGGCCTAACTAAAGTTCTATAAAGCTGCAGC